TAATTTATTAGAAAATGCTAGAATGCATTGTTTGTTAATATAAGACTGTCTTTTGGTTGAGATTATGATAAAATGATATAATTCATGAAAATTAGGTTCCTATTTCTAAAATCGGGGGAATAATCTAATCTATAATTTGTCAGTCATAAAGATTAACATCATTTGGCGAAGGTATGAGATCGGGGAACTCTAGTTTCAGGCTGCACTGGGGCAGTGAGTCAGCAATCCAAGTTTTGTCTTGGCATTAGGAGGTCATGGAGAATTGTATATCTATTTTGAAATGTTCAGCGATACGTAAATTTTGAGGATTAACTCTGTGGGCTGTGGTGAAATTCCCTCGGGGGCATGTAATGTTGTTGGCCCTACACTGCAGCCATTACTGCCAGGCCTGTGTTTTGTATGTCTCTGATGAGGAAATGAAACTTTTAAGTTGCGTCGTGACTCACAGAAGACTTCTGTATGCAGCTTGACTTAGTCAGGAGGAAGTAAAGATAAAACTAGAGTTCGACAATCTCATACCTCCATGACATGTTTAGTGCTTTCGTAAAGCTTATGCATAGTGATGATCACATAAATGGCTTACATTTACAATCCTGCTCATTAGCAAGATTTTTACACAAATTATTCACATAGCCCCTACCTAGTAACATACAACACACTGGTGAAATCCTTACCATTTAACATGGACAACGTATGATATTGTTGGTTATATGCAAGTATGACCTCTGACATACCTTTGCCAACTCATGTTTGCCATCCAAGCTGACGAATTATAATTTTTTTTACTGTCAATATGCAAATTATAAGAGCCATTTGCATATATTATATCATTTGATCATATTCTCCGCCCAATGACAGGGTTATCTTAAGAAATAAGGCTATAATTCTAGCGTTTCCTCATAAATTAGGCTAATGAGGTCCTGATTTGAATAAATTATGTTTAGTGATGTTCGCCTTAATTGAACTTCCAAGTATGGCAAGTATTAAATTCACAGCAGTTAACACCATAAAATTGTACCAATTTGCCATTAATTATGCAAATTAGGTCTTCATTTACATAATCAATATCTACCAATGATCTTGTTGTTCTCAATTACATATGTCTAAAGTGTTTCATAGCCCTAATATGGAATACAGCAGATTTATAGAATTTCCTCATTGATTATGAAAATTAGATCCTGATTTGCATAATTGTATTTTAATCATGTCAAGCATCATTTCAGCTACCTACATACCAAAAATCATGACGATCCATCAAACAGTTGTTCAGTTATCCTCTCTCGAATATTTTTAAAGAAACCATCCTGCAGTTCCAGAACAAGCTGCTAGGGGGCCCAAACTCATGTGACTTCTTCCCAAGCACGAGAGCTACCTATCATCCAAATTTCATGACCCTAGCATGTCCAGATCGCGAGATATCAAAACCGGAAGTTGCGCTGCAGTACCAAGGGAAGCCACTAGGGGGACCAAAATCTAATCATTTCCAGTTTTCGTCACACCCTACCAACACACCAAGTATGAAACCAATCCATCCAGGCGTTCTTGAGTTATCTTGTTGACCTACAGACGGACAGACGGACGGACAGATAAACGCAACTGAAAATATAACCTCCATGACACATTTCATGGAGGTAATAATTATAACTTACAGGGAAGCAACAGGTGTGACACACTCTCCTTTGACAAGTTTCACACATATTTGGCCCACTAAAGAAACTTATTCATACTTTTTCATTTTTTTTAAAAATAGGCACACCCGCGGCCGTCGGCCATTTTGAAATGTACACGCCCAGGCGGCGAAGTTGTCGTAGCGCACATTTTGCCCAAAAAGTGGGTACTGTAATTTGTAAAAGCCTGTAAAGCACGGAAACTTCGCAGAAATTCAGGGGAGTCCTATAATATATGAACATGTTTGTGGTGGTGGATTTTGCCGGCGTTGCGCAAGGGCCAATATTTTGCAAGGAGTAGTGGGCGTTCGCTGTGAACCCGGAAGTAAAGTGGGTATTCGCTAAGAAGAGAAAAAAACAGTAAATTTCGATTTATTTAAGTTTGATTGATGGATTCGCGTCAAACTGGATTTGATTGATGGATTCGCGAACACGTGGGAGCACACTCTGGATATGACCACACAAAAAATTTTAAGATTTGTGCGACGAGGATGGCCCCAGAGTGGGCATTCGCTAAAAAGAGAAACCGTTAGATATTTGGTACGTACACTACAATGTAGGTTGGGTTGGGTAATCTAGCAGCATGTTACTACTAGTAGTGGTGCAGATTCTAACCAGTAATACAAATTGAAATGGTAACAATTTTGTAATCCTGGGCATATCACTCAGAAAATTTGGAACTAAATTTAAATCTGCCATTGATCAAGAGGAAGACAATTTTCGATCACTTATAATTTGATTTGGAAAATAAAATTGACTGGAAACTCCTCATGTTTTGGTTCACGTTGTGTTTTTTCTGGAAAAAGCTACAACACCAACAACAACAACTGCAGATGTCAATGTTACCATGGCAACCACCAGCCAATCAGCAGTCAGGAGTACTGCAGGTACCCCCCAGCCTCCCTCTGATACTGGAGGAACAGGTTTGTGAGAAGGAACACTAAAATGTGGAAAGTTCTTCCTGATTTTCAAGACTAAAAATTCAAGACTATGAAATATCATAATACACTTTCCTCAACAGCTGTTCCTCAATGATTGTTCTAGTTTTGCATGGTCATCTTTTCTCAGTCCTGGTCCTCGAGACTAAAAATTCAAGACTATGAAAAAATGATTACACTTTCCTCAATAATTTTCCAATTTTGCATGCCGTGGTCATCTTTTCTCATCATGTTTCTTGTACTGAACCATTACAAATGAAAATGACTTTTTCTCCAAAACCCAGGATTTTTTCTTCATCTCTCACCTTTTATCTAACACAATTGTGCTCATCTTTACCAGATTTCGCCTGTTAAATAAATTCTTTAATATCGATATATAACTACACTGTATTTTGTCTGTGTAGATCTGACCAGAATCATCATAATTTTTCTGTATCAAGTATCATCAGCAACAAAATGACACAATGACGCCACCGGTACCTGCAAAAGAAGAAATTAATTCCTCATAATTCATAGGGAAGGCTATGTCATCAATCTCATCATCATCATTATGATTGTGACAAGGCAGCCTAATATTTTTTATAAATCATGCCTTCCAGAATTTAGTGTAATATACTGGTACATACACGGTCCTCCTATTACTAGTATCTGATTTATCACTATGTCACAAGCCAGATTTTGCAAGCATTACCCGTTTGTCTACACCAAAAAAACAGTTACTCAAGCAACTGGATATGATTTTGGAAACAGTCAGACATTTAAGGTAGCCATCCACTACCTTTCGTCAGTGACACTGTATTATTACTGTTTGTTGGCGTATCTTATTACCTGGATGTCTCAAACCTTCACTGACGAATCCTTTTGTCTGTTTGTAGGGGTAAAAATCAACTTTGAGACATACCATGAGGTGGAGTATGCAGGTTACGATGGGTGGTACAACAACCGCGCTCACCCGGAGTGGGGCATCGCAGGTTTGTTTGTTTGTTTATTTAGCTATTATTACATACTTTACTTGAAGCTGCAGTATTTTGCATGGAATCTGTGATGCATGTATTTTGTTTGATTCTACATAGAGGACGTTTTAGATTGAAAAAAAGTTTTATATGATAGTGATATTGGATGTCTCTGTCACTCTGTTTTGTATGTCTGTGTCTCTGTAATCAAAGGCTAGAAAATGAAAAAAAAATGCCATTGGGCATCATCAAGTACATGTAGCACTAAGGCCATGTTGCTTTGATTACTAGTATATGGATGACATTGACATCCTCTGGCAAGCGCAAAACTGATGCGAGCGTACATTAAAAAAAATTTGGCCCCAAAAAAAGTTGCTTTCATCATGAAATCTACGTGGTTTTGAAGGTTGAACAAGTGACACAGAGTATGGTTTGGCAAATAATCTAACATCCGTGTCCATAATATCACCAGGGTCCATAATATCGCCACCTTGAGAAACAGTGTGCTTTAAGATATTTTCACTGCAACATACTTTTGGTATGCACTCCTGCACACCTCAAATGTACATACCTAGGGTATGCTGCAGTAAAAATATCTTTAAGCACACTGTTTCTCAAGGTGGCGATATTATGGACCCTGGTGATATTATGGACACGGATGTTACATAGTCTTCAAATTAATTTCTTTACATTTTCGTCTTCTTCGTTTGGTTTTGGCATTCTACGACATTGGTATCATTTTCCTTTTTTTTCTCAACCTACGGTATATATATTTGCTCATTTTGCAACTGTTATGTACGATTTACAGTATGGTTGAAAACTTTTTTTTTTTTGGAAACGACAGAAAATTCATGCACGCGGGGATGTCATCCATAATTATAATCTAATCCACATGGCCTAATCTATCGTGATGTAATGTTGTTGTTACAGACAGTCCGCTGACACGCCGTCTGCCATCCCACTACCAGGACGGGACGTACGAGCCATCTGGCTGGGACCGCCCAAACCCCCGCACACTGAGCGAGCTCACCATGAAGGGACTGACGGGGATGGGGTCCTTCCGCAACAGGAGCGCTCTGCTCACCTTCTTCGGTAAGGCCACAACAGGGTCATTCTATTTATATGTTTACCGAAGGAAAACATATTATTTTTGCTCAGTTTCTTCCTCTTCTTCTTCTCCAAACAGTGACCTCTGACCTGACAAATGACATGATTTGTTGACGTCTGTCACCGTGGTGACTGGTGTTGGGTTACATAATGTTGCAATTTCATGGTCTGCTCTATCTGCTCCTGTCACCATATACTAGCATGGGCGATAGGCCACCGAGTTTTTGTTGAGATCGCTGTTGCTTTGTTTTATGAACACTCGTATACTGTGCACTCCGTACAAGCTTAAGATTCCCGATAATCATACACTGAACACAAACACTATGAACACGGTCCGTTGAAAGGATCCGAAGAGTCATGAACTCAACACATAACACCGTGAACACTGTCCGTCGAAAGATTCCCGAGAATCATACACTCATCGCATGACACCGTGAACACGGTCCGTTGAAAAAATTTCCCTAGAATTCTCTGTACAATGAACCATACATATATAATACATACTGCTGGGTACTTTGTCCGCTGAATCATACATAAAAAGCACACTCATTACTCAGCTGTTACATTGGCGTTCAGGGTAGCGCAAAGGCCGACGGGAATAGAACAGGTTTCGCAAACTCGAATGCGTTCGCAAAACCGCTGCTCGACTCGATAGAACCCCAAGCCGGGGGCTAGCGCTAGCGATGATAACTTCAAAAAGATGACAGGGTAGGAAACACCTACCCGTGAACTGCGTTACCAACTAGGGTGGCAGCAAAAATGTGACTTAGAATCACGTTCGGTGTGAAGTCCCTGCCTCCCCAGACTCAGAAAACAACGACATAGTACATTTTAGAGATATTGGGCACAACTACACTTTCCAAATCTCATGCCTGGGAGACATATGTAGAACTGAAAACATGTCGGTGGGGTTTGTGGACGTGTTTAGAGTACATTTACACATAGCATGTCAAGACTCTTGTCGGGTGATGTAGCCAGTTGTGTGCGTTTACATTTTAGAACCGCGCGGGAAATGTGGGCCTATCGTGCGTCTGATTGGCTAGCGATGATGTCATTGACCTGTACAGCAGCGACCTGGTAACGCAGTTCGCCGGAAATTGGACTTTACAAAATGTCTTCATATCTTCTTTAAAATATGGTATCATACCCCCAAAAAGTTTACATGGCTACTTAGTTACCCCTTGATTATAGATAGTATCAAGACTTTTATTTTCCTTATGGCATTTCGCAGAAAATAGGGTCTTTTGAAATGGCATTTCGCACCTAGTGTATACTAGTACTAAGTACCTAACCAAGATGAAGCGTTCGGAAGTCGCTGTTCGGCTCTCGGCAATCTTCGGGAGACTTCGGTATCTGTTCGTATGGTTCTTTGGAATCCTCATCAGTTTGTGACCGTGTTCAGTGTACGTATGATTCTAGGGAACCTTTCAACGGGCCGTGTTCACGGTGTTATGTGTTATGTGACTGTATGATTTTTGGGAATATTTCAACGGACCACTGTATTGTGATGGCAACGGGCTGAATGAGTAGACACAGTGTATGTTCTAACATGCGCGAAACAATAATAAGGATTTTATTTCATGGTTTACAAAACAATGTAACGTTACATGTATTGTTAGATCTCAACAAAAACTCGGTGGCCTAGCGCCTGTGATACTAGTAGTACAGTCATGTATGTTAAATATGTTTGAGTAAGAATTAACAGTCTGAGAGCAGACCATGTCTGAAGGTAAACATTATGCATTTGCTTTGCATAATGTTACTTCTCTAGTTGAAATTGCAACACTGCAATACACGTGGGACACAGGCAGCTGTTGCTGGTGTTGTGCCCCACACATAAGAACAAATACAGGACACACAATACTCATTTTCACTTAGGTTAAGTGAGGAAAGTCGTGTTAAGTGCCTTTCCCAAGGGCACAAGATTGGTGGCATGTCAGGACTCGAACTCGATTTAAACACGATTTCCAGGAGTTTTGCATTTGTTATTCATGTATTTTGTTTTGCTTAGAATACTTTTTTTTAAATTTGACACCTTCCAACAGGACAACAAGTTGTGGAGGAGATTCTTGACGCTCAGCGCCCGGGCTGCCCGCGGGAATATTTCAACATCAAGATTCCGACGGGCGATCCAGAATACGACCCAGACGGAAGGGGCGGGCGAGAAATCCCGCTCCTGCGATCTCGCTACGACATGCGGATCACCGGATTCTCACCCAACTTTCCCCGACAACAGGTATTGGTCATTATTTTTCGCCTTTTTCAATATGATTGTAAAACATTGAACTTTCTTCTTACACACAATTGTACAGGCATAAAATTTGCAGCGACCGCTGTCGCCTTCATCAGGATAATTAATGACCAATCACTTCACAATGTGATCTCGCGAGAGTTACGGTTACAAACACGTGACCTTTATTGCATTGGTCATAATAGTAATAATCTATCCTGATGAAGGCGACAGTGGTCGCTGAAAATTTGATCCCTGTACAATTGTGCATTGGAATAAAGTTCAACGTTTTACTACGATTACTACCAACACAGATGAACTTTCTTTATTTGCATAGCCATTGTCAAAGCCATGACACAAATGATATGTTTTCTGTGTTTCTCTAGTTAAACGAGATCACGGCGTTCCTGGACGGAGGACTGATGTACGGGGTGACCAAGGCCTGGGCGGACGCACTCAGGTTTGTCAAGAATATTTGATTTCAGGGCATTGACCAATCACCACCACGCATATGTGTAGATATGTAAATATCATACGTTTGGGGATGCATCCATAGCAGCGACACCTGTGTTGTAATGCAACGTGAACCAGTCAGAATTGCCCTGAGGAAGGTGACAGACGGTCACCGAAACCTTGAATGACCGTAAAAAGAGTCTCTTTACTCAGCCACTTACCAACCTGATGAAACTATTCAGCAATGACTCTGTGTTGAATATTATGGGATATTGCAGAAGTTTGAAATAGTAAATATAGACAGGGAAGTGTGATTAAGATCAAGACTATTGATTGATACTAGTATGCAAATATCAATCCAAATTTGCATATTAATCAATAGTTCGTGCTTATAAACCTGCAGTTCTCCTGAAGTCTCTTATAATTAGTGTCACTGACAAAAGGTCAGTATGCTACCTGAAATATCTGACCGTTTCCAAAATCATATCCAGTTGCTTCAGTAACTGTTTTTTTGGGCGTATCTTATTACCTGGAATCCAGGATGTTTAACTGACGTAAATGCTACTAATTTTTCTTTTTTTTATTCGGTTCCTTATCCTGATTACTTATTAGTAGTGAGAAATTTTGAAGACTTGCACTTGTGCAAAATAAACAAAACATGACAAACTTGTAAAAAAAAAATTAGAACTAGAAAGGCCAATATTTGCTTTGGAGCAAATACAGCGATGGGTTCACCACATTTTACGACATGGCAGGGAAAGAATGAGAAACACAAGGGAAAACAATGATTTACATTGATGTAACTATAATATGAAGTAAAATACAACTAAAACAACAGTTGGATAGCTATTCCCTACTTTATTGGTTAGGATTTTTAATTGCATAATGCAAACTGTTGATTTTCAAAATAAAAAAAAACGTCCATGCCCCGCATTCCAATGCTGGAGCAGGAAAGCTTGAAATACCTACCAAAACACTTGAATACAGACATACTGTCAGTATGGAAATGATCTGTGCAGGTGTTAATCAAGTTAAATCCCAACAGCCAATCAGCAAGAAATGCTCTGTGCAGGTGGAAATGCTCTGAGCAGGTGTTAATCAAGTTAAATCCCAACAGCCAATCAGCAAGAAGAATAGAGGAAAGCTGCATGCCTATTGGTTGATGCCCT